GCCAGTCTGCACTGTGCAATCCCAGCCATTCCATGTCCCCTGCAGGAAAGATGTTAACTCCATAAAAAGAATGCTTCTTTGAAATCTGCCCCCATCCAGGACTCCTCCTCCACCCCAGATCTTCTACCAGACAACAGTAGGGGTCAGACAAGCAGAGATGCTCCAGGCCTCAGAGTGGAAACTGAGTCTCCTGTCAAATATAGAAAATGGGACAGCAGAAGGGCTGGGACCTCCAGCCCACAATTGTGGGTTTAGACGTTGTCCCTGGGGCCTCCCTGGAGCAGAGGCCTCCAGGTCCCGCCATGAAACACATGTGGCTTGAAAGGAAAGTGCTGGGGCTGGGCCAGCGCTCTGCCTTTCCCTTCGGCCTTCTCATCCCACAGCAGGAAAAGCATATGTTCTTTCCATATAGAGGAGAAATTGTTCCGAGAGTGAGTAAGTCTCTTGGCCGTGACGCTGGCACAGCCCACAGAACACTGGGCAGGAAGCTGGGCAGCAATCGTTCCCACTCCTGGAAGCCGGACCAGGCTGAGTTGGCTGACACCCTCCAAGAAGATGGGATGGCGCCCGGGCGCTGGGTTCCGATGCCTAGGTCATTGAACTTTTCGGGGGGCGGGGGGAGCAGGAGGATGCTGACGGTCTCTCATACGGATGAGGGAGGGCACTTTTCTCGTTCATCTGCTGGGTTCAAGGAGCGAAGAACCAGGGGTTGGCCAGAGGCAGGCGACCTACAGTCTGGGTCTGAGTCAGAGGTGACTCAGGTGTGTGCTCAACCATACAGGGCCATTTCTAGACGGTTATTTCCAATACCTCCCCAATTTTTCCTCTATGCTTCAGGGTTAGGTGGCAAGAGGGTGACTCATCTTTAATGACAAATAGCCTTCCACCAGCCCCAGATAGACAGAAGACGCTTCTCTTTCCTGGCTGGGCTGGGTCCAAAAAGCCGAATTTTTCCCCATTGATTAAAGACCCTACTGTGTGTGGGGTCTGAGAAAGGTGGGGAGGGTAGGCTTGGTGTAGGGCATAAGATGTTCTGGCCAGGGGTCAAAGTAAAGCCATTAAAAAAACGTGGGATACAATGTAGGCCGCCTTGAAGTCACAGAGGTGTAAGGTGCTTTAAAAAGCTTGGGTGCTGGTCAGGGACAGCTAGTCTGAATCTTAGAAAGGGGCCAGGACATGGCCCAGGTCCAGGAGGCTCTAGGCTTTCTAACTCACAGACCCTCTTTCTTTCTGCGGCTTCCAGTTCTTTTGAAAAGCAGGACAAACCTGGATTTTTTTGTTTGTTTGTTTGGGGTTTTTTTTTGTGTGTGGTTTTTTTTTTTTTTTTTTTTTTTTTTTTTTTTTTTTTTTTTT